GATATTATAATAATCAAGAAACGGTTATAAGAAGAGGAGGAGGAGGAGGAGGAAGGGCTCACAGGGTCCATAAACATGTCGACCAAAGCCAAGCTATTCATAATCACAACTCCAGAATCTCGAGACGCTTCGACCCGAAACATTGGGGTTCTTGAGGTGACTACTCGATCGGGAAACATGCTTCCGTAAGCGTCAAGATTAAGAACATCTCTCCCATCCGTGCCTGACTTCATCCACAAGGGTTCATTAGTCTGCAAAAGCCTGAGCAACTCATCCATGGCATTTCCAGCAATGTCAGACATGAGGGACTTGTCGACGTCGGAAAATGAGGCCGCCTGATAAGGCAAGCTCGGAACCGATGAAGAACTCCCAGGCAGAAGATCGAGATCAAGGGAGGGACCACCCATCATAGTCTGGCTCCCAAAACTTGCCATCGACAAGTCCAGAGATGAAATATGAATAGGCTGCACAGGAGGGAGCTGAGAAATCGGTCTTCCTATGTATTTAGCCGCAATGCTAGATACTCTATCGAGCTGCAAAATTAACACAAGTTTTGAAATCGAGTGTGGAAGGATGAAGAACAAGGATAGGTTTTTTAATTTATTTTTGTTCTCTGAAGTTACCTCTTCTTTCAATTGAGCATTCTCCAAACGCAACTTTTGCTCGTCGAAATAGGAATCCTCGTGAAGAGGAGGGCCACCACAAGAAGGGCAAATGACATTTTTGAGGGCCTCTCTGATAGCTATGTTCTCGCATCGAATCTTGTCATTCTCTGCTCTAAGGGCACAGTTATCAGCCCTCTCGTGCTGGGCCTGAATTGCACAACCAAAAACAAGCAACAGTTTAAAACAACAAGACACTTGCAATAATTTTGAAGTGACGGAGGAAACAGGGGGGAAAAAAATAGTACCTTCATCTGGGTCCTCCTGTTCTGGAACCAGAACTTGATCTGCCTAGGGGCCAAGCCTAGTTCCCTGCTTAACTGCAATCTCTGCTTTTCATCTGGGTGGGGGCACTCCTTGAACATTCTTTCATTCCCCCATCACGAAAAAGACACAGACAAGAGGTCATAAAAATCGGAGCAAACATCCAAAGTTAACCGTTCATGCCACAAGAAACAAACAAAATGGCCGATAACTTACGATTCAAGCCTCTGAATCTGGTTAGCTGTGTGACGATGGTATCGCTTCTTGTTCCTCTGTGAATCAGAACCGTCGTGCAGCAGGTGGTGGTGGTGGTGATGGTGGTCCCCGGGGGACCCACCACCGCCTCCACTCCCGTACTCCATTCCGCCTTCTCTCTCTCTCTCACTCACTCAGTGTAGCAGCAGAAAAAATAGTAATAGTTTTAGCAGTGAATCAGAGAGTCTCATGACATTGAAGGATTAAAAGAAGTAAAATTTGAATTGTGGGTATGGAAAAATGAAGGAGCTTTAGAAGAAGGAAGAAAGGGTTAGAGGAGAGTGATTTTGGTGGGAACAAAATAGAGCATTACGTTTAAAGGAGGCAAATTGCAAATCACCAATGAACAAACATACCCATTTACCCGAAGATTCTCAAGCGATATGAGAAACGGCTGAATGATTGATCAAAGATATCGGCACGATTTGAGATTTGAGAAAGGAGGGAGTTATGGCCTAATTTACGAAGAGAGAAACAAAGGAAAGAAAGAAAGAAAAACTAAAACCAGCTAGCAGCTAATATGATATGATATGATGTGTGTGTATGTATAGTATCCATCTATTCTATACCCACCACTTTCTCCACTTTCACAGAGAGTGTCTCTCATAAGTGTAACTGATGGGGGTTTTTAAAGCATTTTTTCCGAGCAAGAAAGGAAGGGCCTTTAAAGTCTCTCTATTTTGATTATCTCTCTATTTCTTTCTCTCTCTCCAGCAAAAGTGGATGAGTGAGTGGTACAAGCAAAACCAGGTGTGTCCCCCATTGAGCTATAAATGAGGTCTCCGGTTGATTTGTCAGCTCCCGCCCATTCCCGGTGACCGGTGCGATATTTTCTCGGCGGCTTTTGGTGACCAAATGACGGATCTGCCCCACGTTCTCTCTCTTACCTCATTTATGTCTCCTCAGCTACGTCTTTCTCTCTCCCCTCCCTTTCCCCATTCTTGGTTCGTACACACACTACAAAGGGGACGCAAAAGTCAAACGTTGCCTTCCCCGTCTCAAGAGTCCTGGATCCTCTGCTATCAACTCTTTCCTGCAATTCCAAAACCAATCATATTGTGACATGTCATTCCTTTTTGGGGAGTGAGAAGGGTTTTTGACCTCATGGGGATGAGAATTGAGAAGGTGAATGTTTGTTTGCAAAAAAATTTTTTTAAAGTGTTTAGATAGAAACCAAATCATAATTTTAAGAGTGATTTTACGATCTACGAAATAAATATATGGAGAAATTTATCTTGATTTACGGAAAAGTGCTTCTGAAAAGCACTTTTCAAGGTATCCAAACATCTCCTTAGTTTATTTTGTTGAAATTTTTTTAGAAAATTATGTTAATTAATTTCTCATTACCAATTACCTAGTGCCACATTGATAATGCTTCTGTGGAGAATTTTTTGCTAAAAGCGAAGTGTTTAATGGTTGAATTTTTTCTATTGAAAATTCTATACCTTTTGATATTTCCCATGTTTTTCTTTTGCCAGCTTGATATTACCTATGTTAAAGCTTAAAAGTCCCTAAAATAAAAGAAAAAGTAAATTTTGTGCGTACTTCCATTAGAAGAGTTGGGAAGAAAAAAGGATACTGCAAATATAAAAAGTCAAGATGTGGAACTTTGATTGAGGGCAGAATCCCATTTAGATATTTAAATATTCAAAATGGTAATGAAGAATGAGGCTAATGCACTATTAAATTTTGTATTGTCCCAAATATGGCATGATCGAAATACTATCAATTATCAATCAAAATAAGCCAAAAAGAGCACAGGATAATTTCAGAAAAATACTAAAATCGTTCCCAGTTATTCAAAATCTAATCGTTAGAAATATTAAAAATAGAAATAATTACTGAACAATTTGTTTCTATGCAACTCAAAGATTCAACCTTTTTTTTTTAAATCAAATTTCCTTACCTCTTACACTCATTTGTGATTTTAGTATAAAATCATTTGACCAAGTAGTATACAATTAATAAAAAAAAGAAAAAGAAAATAATTGTTTTTTTATTAGATTAGCAGTACTAACATTGAGGGGTACTTATCATATATTACATTTAATCCTAATTATAATATTTTGTTTGTAAACTACAAATAAGATATTATAATTAAGACTGGAGCTAGCACATTATAAGTGATTAAATTAAAATTTTATATAAATTTAAATGATCAAACATATATTTTACTTAACTTTGATGATTGAATCTCCTTTTGTCTCTTTCTAGGACTAATCATCCCATATCTTTTTTTTTTGGGCTAATTCTTTCCTTATTATTTTGGCGTATGAACATTAGGAATATCTCTCAATTTATTTTTATTTTGCCCCAGTCTAAATTAGAGTAAAATGCATGAATTTTAAGTGATTACACAGTGAACAGAACAAAAACTACTAGTAGAGGAGCATTCAAATTCCTTAGCCACATTGAATACGAAATCTTTATTATCCAAAACCACATTATTACAAATATATCAAGAGGATATGAAGGCTTTAATTTAATGGCAAGTTTTAATTTTGTGCATGAATATTCAATATATCAAATTAAATTAAGAATTCATTATTAAAAGTTTTTAAATATAACACAGTGTCCATATATAAAGATACGATTTATGTACATGGCATGTTTATTAATTTAGCAGTCACTGTTAGACAACTTATCTTAAGTCTGCAGACTCTACACTATAAAGAATAAAGTGCAGGTAATTTATATATCTATAATTTACATAAATAAAAAGAGGCACTTAAATTTGTATGAAGTAAAAAGCGTATCTATATTTTATTATATTTTAATTTTACGTTATAAATGAGAATATAATAGCCATGTGTATGGTTAATTTTAATTGAATTGTGTGATTGTGATATTTTACCCAGAGAAATATATATTTTATTATGATTTAGTTTGAAAAATTGCTAACTAAAATTTGAGAAGCACATTTAACTCTAGTTGTTAATTCTCCAAAATTATGTAAAATACATTCATACGATTTTAAGATCATGACATTATATTCTCTTCCCTTCATCTCAACCCTGTTTAACATGAAATTAATCTGTTTATATTCCTTCTTTTCTTATTGCCAGCAACAAAAAACACATAACAAAATATTCAGTAAACTGAATATCTATAATTTATTTGTAAAATGAAATAAAAAATTATCCTTGAATTTCCTTGAAGAGGAATCCAGAATAACTTTTTATCATATAGAGTATTTAGTGCTTGAATTTAATTACTAGAAAAATAACGATGAGATTGAAATACTTGTTTGGAAGCAGTTGACAAGAAATTGCTAATATTAGTCCAAACAAAAGAGAAATTGGGATTCCTGAAAATGACGGTGGAAACATCATATCATGTTCTTTTATCTAAAATACTAAACTGCGCACAACGATAAAGAAGAAAAAGGAAAAATATGTGAGAAACATTTATCTAAAAATTTTATTGGTTAGAAAAATCAAAATTTGAGTATTGATAATTTCTATATATAAATCCCCACAGAATATCGGTACTTTCAATGTGTAAAAATACCTCAGATCTTTCTTACTAATAAAATTTTGTATTTTATTGTTATTATTTTGATGTTCTTCATATTTGACCGGAAAAAAGAGAGATAGAAATTTCATTTAAACTGTTGAAAATGATATGAGGTTGATTTATCAGTAAAAACTGAGTCTAACAAAAAAAAACTAATTTTTCACAATTGATATAAATAAAATCTATATTTAGTATTTAATAATATCTTAGACATGATTATTTTAAAATGATAGAAGAATGACTCTGCCTAAAAAGTTAAGGCTGATTTGAAAAGTGGAATTTTTTTTTTTTTTTAAGAATTCCGAATGCAAACATAAGAAAATTAGAAATGAGCTAAAATGAATTAGAAGGTTAGGACGAAGGGTGTTGGAAGGGCGTGTGACCACCAATTTTGGAAGAAGTAAAAGGGAATGACGTCATAATTGGGCCCCTACTTTTACAGTAGCCCGTAACTCTCGATTGCACATCCACCGCCGTTATAGCCGCCTTCTCAATTTCTCACCAAAATGCTTTCCAGCTTTCAATTTTCATATCTATACTGAAGCATACTTATTTACCCTTTTTAAATAATTAATTATGAAATATTATCTGATCTTTAATATAAAAATTTGTTTAATTTTTATTTTAGTTTAAATTTAAGATCTAATTTATTTTATCTTTTATATTTATTTATTTTTCTCAAATAGTCATTGTAGTAGTGATAGTTTTAATTAATATACTTGATTAGTAATGATATTTTAGAAAAGACAATATATATCTATTATAAATAACTAGTTTAATTAATTCTTTTAATTTATTTAAATTATTCAATTAGTTTTTATATTAAAAACTGCACAAAGTCAACTATAATTTATATCAGGATATGATCAATATCATATTTATATGCCATTGAGACATGCTATAATTTCTATGCGTGATATGGAGTGTAGTTTAATTTTTTAGCCAGTACAGAAAAAAAAATAAAAACATAAAATATAAAATTTGCAAACTAATTCTTAATAATTTGATAGAAAATTTAATTTTCAGTTCTTAAAATTTTATCAATTCAATTTATAAACTTTAACTGAAAACAATTCAGTTCTTATATTTAATTGATTAATGAGTTATGGGAATATAGCTGTTTAAGGGATAACTTATGTAGAATCAATAAATTATAAATTATAAGAATTGAGCTGTTTAAATTAAAATTTGAGATTCAATTAATAATTAAAGAAATTTTTTTAAGTATTATCATTATTTAACTTATATGATTATATTTTAATTAATCTAAAATAAATTTTGAAAAAAAAAATAGGATGAGGAAAAGTGTGGGAAAAGAGGAGAAACATGGAAGAGGCAACAAAAGGGCAAGAGAAGGTGGGCTGGAACACAAAAGGGGAAAAAGCAACGCCTTCTTCTCTTCTCAAACTGTAAATTGAATGCGATCAAATTGTGGGGCCCGCCTTTCTTCCCCCAAACCCAGCGTGGACCCCACCCCAACCCAATCACTTTTTCCCGCCATTTCTCGATCGGAGCGGCGACCCCTCTACCCCTCCTCTCTTCCCCCTTTTTCCTCTGGTCCTTAATCTCCTCTTATTTAAGGTTACCCAAA